GGATACTGTGTAATAAAAAATTGAGTTATTAAAGCGTACATTTCAAGGGAATATTTTGGTTTAATATATAGTGATTAATTATAATCAAGGATGGATAAAGTTTCTCAAGCAAAAACGATTTTATATACTACTTACAGTTTGATGCGAGTTAAATATTATATATTGTAATTATACGGTGTAAATGTAAAATGTAAAATGTAGTTCCATGTATCGAAAGGTGGCAAATATAAATATAAATTTGTAACAGAATATTCTGACGCTACGTTAATTAATTGTGTGCACAACCTGAATAAGGGATACGTTCATAAGAAAAAAAAAAAAAAAAAAAAAGAAAGAAAACGAGGAAAGTATTGGATTAAAATATTAAACACGAGGAAAACAGCGAAATGTTATCGCAATCGGTAAAATAATGGATGCAAGCGTGTTTTTACAGAACTTTTCCTTGGAAAACTTTGGAACAACCGATTAAATGTGTTTCAAAGTGTACAAGTTAGTGTCGTTACAGAAAGAAAATCAAAGTGGAAAATTTTGTACAATGAAACTTTCTCGAAATTTTAAAATTCCTCTTGATGATATCTTTAATAAAAATATATATATATTAATAAATATATAATACATATGTACACTAAAAAAAAAGACACATTTATTAAGATATCTGAAATATTTTTTCAAATATTTTATACTTTTTCTTTCTTTCTTTTTTTTCTCTTCCCCTTTTCCCTCTGTTTCTAGCACTCTTCGAGATGGACGAAATTTATCGGTAGTGGGGATGCAGGAATCATTTTAAGTGCATCCCGATAGATTTTGCACGAACATGAAAAAGAACTCCCCAAAGCGGGGCGTGCTTAAGATCGTCTGCACGCGATAAAAACATAAAAACCGCTGTCCTTGCTTTTAAAATCCCGGATCCCATCCGCTTCATTTCCCAGGATGCAGTTACACCGACGTGAAACACGTGTACCGTTTCAGATTTACAACGTCATTATAGCGGCGCGGCACGAAACTTGGGATTTTTCTTCCCTTCGACGACTCTATATTGACGTACTCCCCCAAGAAAAATATAGAACGTACGAAATTGGCACAAAAAAATGAAAATTATCGAGATTTTAATCAGCACTTGGCTTGAAAATAAAAAGAAAGGGAAGGGGGGGAGGAGAGCGAAGTCTTTCTTTAGAAATTTTCAATATTACAATTTCTAAAAATTTACACATCCGCAATCATTTTTCTTTTGTCATTAGTCAAACGTTAATTATTCTTCGTTTCGATGTTTAAATGAATAAAGATTTAAAAAAAAAAAAAGAATATGCAGTTTGATAAATTTCTAAGTTATCGTCAACACTTAGAAGACAAAGAACTGTGATGTACGTCCGTATACCATCAGACAAAAAGATAGGATTATACGATAATTCGAACTGGGCGCAGTGGAACAGGTCAGCCATAAGTTGGACCGGCAAAAAGCCAAACAAAAAATCACCGCGATAAGAACAAAAAAAGGGCATCGATCTTGGAATATTATACGCCACAAAAACGTCATGAATAATTCATCCTTGCGGATCATTTTTCTAAACAGTCTCACCCGATTCATCCCTCGAAAATAGACCGAACACAACCCCATCCTCGTACTACTCATTAACCCGTGCTCTTCTCTTCGAATTTCCTTTCTTTTTTTTTTTTTTTTTTGATCAAAAAATGTCAATCAAAAAATATACTTGTACACATCGTGAAAAGAAACGTAACTGAAAAATGAAACAAGAAAAAAAATGATGGAAAAAAAAAAAAAAGAAAAAGTCTCAATTATCTCTCGTATGTACTATGTATCGGGAACCTTGGTGCGCGACATGCAGAAGCATGATTATAATCCGTTGGCTTCCGGCCAGAATCGCATACAAAGCCCTTCTTTTCCGCTCCTTCCATTCCCGGTTGTCCTAAGTGTTCTAAGTATGATACGAGGTGTTTCGTCCTCGAGGAGAGATAATTAAACTAACAATGTCGTGATCTCGCTCGCTTCTTCCTCTTCCTCTCTAGTCTAACTCTCTCTCTCTCTTTTTTCTTTCTTTCTTGTTATTTTTTTTCTTTTTGCTTCTTTTTTTTCTTTGCAAGAATCTCTTTTAATGACGACGGAAGATTCATTTCGTCGCTCGTCGAGGGACGACTCTTGGGAATAAACAAATTACCTTCCTCTTTGGAAGTGTACATCTTTCTGCGATTATGTATATGTATATGTGAAGGGATGAAAATTTCATCACGTAAGCAGGATCTCGATTGTTTTTGGATCGCGCTCGTCCGTTTTATTATTAATAATTATTGTCGATGTAATTATTCGTTTGTAATATTGGAGATCTTCTAATTGTTTCAAATATTCCGATTATTCCGTTGTAATATTAAATTTACACGCTTTTGGAATATTATATATTTTATAATAAATAAATTTGTTAATTAATAATTGATTATGATTTTATGATTTGATAAGAATAAATGGAATTAAATTCATTCATGTTTGTAACGAACATGTAAAGCTCTAAAATTTTTTAACAAACGTGTATAATTATGTATATTTTTATTCTTCTCAAAATAATTATCTTTTCGAATTTTAATAAACGATAAAATTAATGTTAATGTTGAAAAAATTTTCGTCAAAAGACAACCATTCGTCCTTGCCTTCTTACTCCTCCTCTTTTTCTCTATTCATCCTATCAAGAAAATATTTAGGAGACATCGCTATAAGACTGACCAATATCTAAAATCTTCCATCCCATTAAAACTTTTCCAAACAATCTTCCTTCGAATCGTTATTCAATCCAAATCAAATATTTTTCACCCCCTTTTTTATGCTTTCCGTTCAAATCCTTTAAAAATTCCATCTCTCTCATAACTTTCCTTCGTTTATGTAAATCAATTTCAAATGAAACGAAAAATCCACGTTTCGAATCAATCCATCAAAAATAATGTCTTGTTTCGTTTCTGTTTATAAATCTCATCAATTATTTCGAACGTATCGACGTATTGATATTCCGCCTATTATTCCATCGAACGAGTTGTTCCATGTATTTCCAAGCAATCGATGACAATTCTCTGTCCAACTAGTCGAGCTTCTTTACCAATTCTTCGAGTGGTACGTATCCGAGTGGTGTCCACGCTTTCGAAAACGAATCATTCTCTGCACGCAGTGCCATCTACGATCAGCAACGTTACCGAACGTTTCGTCATCCCTCGACAAACTCCTTATCAAGTATCGATTCTCGCTTTCCTCGCCACGTCCGTCGGTATCGAACATTGTTGCTTAGGGTTGTTTTCCAGTCGATGCTTCAACCCTCTGTTAGATGGCAGCACACGCGATTGACCGGTAAAAAGGATTATTCCCGGGAAAAAATTTGAATATGATGTGGCTTCGTCTCTTTGGAACGTTGTGCTTATAACGTTTGACTAAAGAAAAATATTCTTTCTTGTTGTTCTGCTTTTTCTTTAAAATGATTTTTTTTCAAGTCTATGATATTTCATCATTGTGATTTTCGTTTAATCATTGTCGAAATAATCGAAATATTCTTCTTGTTTCTTGAGAGAAAGGAAAAATAGAGATCCAAAGATTATAATGGAATTAAAAAAAATGTTTTAATGAATAATATACATCCCTGTTCCAATTTCAAATCGAATCGAAAATTAAGAAAATTTTCTCGAATCTTTAATAATAAATTATTTCAACCATCTCTAAGATTGAATCCTAGCTCAACGAGTAATTCTTTAGTTTTAATCTTTCGTCGGCAAGTCTAAAAAAAGGGATTCAAGAGTAAAGAAAGGAAAAACAAGGAAAATACAGCTCGAGTGCGAAGCGAAAAAACTCGGATTTCTTCGAAAGAAGACGCAACAGGAAGAATCGAAATCACGATGAGCACGAGGGGGTGGAAACCAAAGTGAGTGGACGCAGTTACAAACACGACAACGTGCTTTGAATAATTTGGAACACACCAATCAGACGGATCATCAACGATACAAGCAGCATGAACAACGACACAGCGACACCTAACAACAGAACGTCTCTCCATTTTGTCTTTTTCTCTGGTATCAATCGCGCGGATGGCACGAGGCATCACGAACGATCGTGCGGAAGGAAACTTGGATGCCTATTTTTCGAAATTCAGTTTGCATTTCTTCAAATATCACGTTTAATGAAATTGAAAGTTGCGCAGTTCGTTTAAATTTTGAAAAAGATTTTGAGTTTTCTTATATTTCCTAATATTTATCAATTAACAGTACAATTTACCCACGAATGTTACATATATATTTATGCTTCTTTCTTTCATAAAAATTAATAATAATTTCGTCGAGAGTACTTGCACGATAATTTTCAATAATTGCAAGAACAAAAAAATTTATACGCTAATTAATTAAAAAGAAGCACGATATTATACGTAAAAAACAGAGGACGACATAGAAACCTTACTTGAAAAGACCAAATATCGTCATCCCCTTTTTAAAGATCCTTCCTTAAAACGATCCATCGTAAGTTCGATTAATCTACCATTACCAAAAATAAATCACTTTAACCAATCTACCGATACGAGTCCGATGGAACGAGACTCCCTCCTGCACACCGCCCTCCATAAATCTGTCTTAAACTCCCGTTATCCTTTCCTTCCAGCCCATCCATAAGATTCATAATATCCCCCACGCACCAACCCCATAATACCCGCTTTAAAACAATCTCGAAAGTGGAATTAGGCATCCGGATTTCCTTCTCGCCCCTTCATGAGAAAGCATGATAAACGTGTACACAAAGGGATGAACGCGAGGGGAGGGAGGAGAGAGGGTGTGCAATCCAAGTGGATGGATCTATAATAATAATGTATGTACTGAACTGACTGACCATGGGACGCGCTGACACGGTGCACGTGCAAAATGTGATGATGTGCCAAACACTTGAACGAAAAAAGCCTTTTTTTTCTTTTTTTCGTTCGATCGGTTCTAATTCGTAATAGATCGGAGGGGGGAGATGCCCCGCTTACCTGCCGGAATTGTCGAATCCCTCCATTGATCCGCAACGAGTCGGCCGCGATGCCGGCAATTCCGTCGCCTGGCTCGCGCAGCTGCCGCAAGGAGGCAGCACTCGGCGCCGTGGCCGTGTGCAACGGGCAACAACATCCGGAACAACAGCACGCTGACGCTTCCGGTTGCGAGCTCTGCCGTATTATGCGCGCGCTGGGGGACGTTGTGACCAGAACCGGAGGCGGAGGCGCCTGGCAAGGGCAACAGTGGTGGCCGCTCTTCACGCTCTCCCTGGAACACACAGGTGTCGCATGTGTTATCGATTGAGCTCGATTAATCCTGGATCGATCTAACATCCGGTTGAAATCAAATCGGTGACAATCTCATGCAGCAATTTTCCCAGTAAAAGTAGATCTTTGGAAACAGATCGTGTTTTTCGTGTGGAAAATTTTTATATTTTATTTTTTACCGAATACTCTTTAATTGTGTTATACTTTGAAATAACAGCGATTGAAATATTATTATTATTATTCTTTTTATCTTTTGAAGATTATATATAGTTTTATTACATTTGATCGAGATTAGATAATCTGAGAATTCGATAAGATTTTGAAATTCCATTTTTTTCTGAATATTTTCGAAAATTATATGTGTTGAAATCTACGATATTGAAATTCTATTATTCTTAAATTCTTATATAGAATTTTCTTATATTTTTTCCTCTTTTATAGAAAAATTACTTTGGCACTAGATCGTGGATTTGTGGAAGAGATGTGAAAAAAGAAATGAAACGTTTAAGATAAGAGCAAACCTAGGATAATAATAGGATGACCTCGACTTAGAGATTTCGCGGAAGGTTAAGACATTTCGACACGGGTTATATATTTTTGGCTTTTCCTTTTCTTCTGTCGTTTACCAGAAGTCGTAAACCTAAAATATCTTAGAGTGTGTTGCCCTCAAACCGGTAGACACAACTCGTTCTTACATATTTTTACAAATTAAACAAAAATTATTTCTGGAAGTGTAACAACAAATAGTATAACTATTAGAATAGCCTGATCTTCCTAGAATTTTCTCTCCGAATTTATTTTCCGATGTTAATTAACAATAAAAATTTAATTGAGAAATAGATAGGATATCGAGTTTGTAAGTTTTGAGATTAGATTTTCAAGTTTCCCTCTGAAACGTGATAATCAATCAATAAGAAAATCTATACAATACTAACATCCTATATTATTTGCAAATAAAAAAGAGAAACGATAATAAATAAGAAAAAATATACTAGATACAATCTAAAAAATATTCCTTAATTCTCAATTCACACGTTGGAACCAATCAAAAACTTTTTCTTGTTAAAATTCTTGTTAAAACTTTACTATCCTTCCAATACCTTATTCTTAAAAAAAAAGAATTCTCTCTCTCTCTCTCTCTTTCTCTCTNTCTCTCTCTCTCTCTCTCTCTCTCTCTCTCTCTCTCTTTCTCTCTCTCTCTCTCTCTCTCTCTCAATAATTACCAGAAATTAAATCCTATCAGATCGTATCCGAGGCTTTCTCAGAAATCTAATCATCATCATATCTCGTTACTAAGAGTCGAATTATTCAACGTCCCATTTATAATCACCATAATCTGTTCTCGTTACAAGAGTAAAATATCCTTTCATTTTGATTACGAATTCCATTATAATATTACTCCACGCTGCCATTCCACAAGAACATATTATTATAAATATTTCAGTATATATATATATATATCAATCGTTATTGCATTAATGAAATTTCATTGGGCGGACAAAGGACTATATCGTCAGTTTCGGTATTGGAAGTTAATTATCTTATGCGACTGGTAAATACATGGATGTCAATGGAACTATATCACTTCCAATCCATTGTCTATATACGTAATATATTCAATATATATATATAGATAGATAGATACATGGGTATGCGTGTTAATTTGAGCAATGCCAGTGACATATTGTACAGCTGACAATCGGCACGGTGCATGATTGGGATCGATCACAATCGTCACATCTGCATCGAGAAGAATTCAAATCTGTCATTTGAGTTGGTTCGAAATAGGCGACGATTCTTCCTTTATTATTCCTTTATACTAATTTCCTCATGTAATTTTACCATTCCTTGTGGTAAACATCGAGAGATTTATTTAGTTGATTCCACCAGTGTATGAAGATTTGAATGTTTCATTGTTCATAAATTAATTTGCAATAATCCGTTCGTGATTGGTACTATTTACTATTTTACCAAGCTCTCTGTGTAAATGTAAATGTCAATTTGCAAATAAGAAAATGTAGGGACAGAAGAAGTTCTGGTTCTAAGTTGAATCAGAGATGAATGAGATACGTAATTGGCGCATACGAAACGTCGTATCAAGTTCGAATTTAATTGGAGTAATTAAATGAAACGCCTTTAACAATGAAACATTGAAATTACGGAACGTTGCGAATAAATATTTGCGATTTAAGTGTCTTTCTTTCGTAAATCAAAATTTAATGAAAATATCAATAATTCGAACAAATTTGTCATTTGAAAGAAATCCAATATATAAATTTTGACGAAAATTTCATCAAAAAGATCCTCCAACAACATCCAAACATCTAAATGGCATAATATTCTGAAATTTAATTTAAAAATAAAAAAAAAAGTATCTATTCGTTTTTATATCCGCGACAATTAACACAATTACAACCACGATCGTTTCTTTTTAATCTCCAATTAAAGACGATACACATTAACTCGCTCTAATTTCATTAACTTGATGCCCGATAACAAACCGTACACGACAGTGAGTAATAATAGTAACAAGAGTGAAGAGGAAAAAGGAAAAAGAACGAAGAAAAAGGAGCGTCGCTTCACCGAGATAGCTAATTCGATTTTGAGAATGTGCTCCAGTTATGCCGCGACAATCCTTTGGAATATCCTTTGTCCACCATCTTCGTGACCGGGGTCTCTGGTTCGAACTGGTTGTCGATGCAAAGAGAGAGAATTGCCTCGAGGTATCGTTAACTCTGGCTAAGCGAAACGTCAAAGCATTCGATGTCAATAGATCCTATGCACACGAAATAACGCGATTATGACGCTTGCCAATCGCTACTTTACTCGAACGCCATTAAACGGGAAATGAACGCGACTCCAATTTTGACCACGAGTCGCTTTATCGTCCGAACGAAATTAGAATCGCGAAATTCCAATTCGCAGAATTCGCAGTCTGCGAACGAGTTCTACACCAATTTCAATCGTACAGCAGACATTTGGAAGATTCGTTGTTGTGTGGAAAACGCAGAGGTGGATATATTTGCATGAAAAAGTTTGGGCGAATTTGATACACGTGAAAACGTAGGTGGTTTAACATTTGGTCCGAGTTTGTCGGACCGAAGATCTGATTTCTCTAGAGGCGAATCTCTCAGAATTTTCTTTCTTGAGTAACTTTTTTGATATTATCTTGGATATATTTATTTTGTTACAGGAGATAAATTAGATCACACGTAGAGGATGATAAAATAATTTGGCTATATTTCAGATACCAAAAAAATAATAAATTATTCGTTCGATCAAGCGTTTGTAGAGAGCTTTGATCAATTTTTGTTTACATACAGGCATTTCTAATGCGCAGTAATTTTAATCTTCCAATGTATTTCCAATGTTTTTTATCAATTGACTAATACGTAGGTGCGTAATTGGAAAATTAAGCTTCAACTTTCTTTCATTCCATATATTTCACATTCCATATATTTTTCTTTTTCTTTTTCTTTTATTAATAATTTTAGTAATTCCATATATTTCCTTAGAGCTTGAAAATCTTTCGTGTAAAAGTGTAACGTGCAAGTGTCAAGCCATTTATTTCAATTTCCTCGTGGTCTAAGGAAGAGTGGCACTTTACGAAGAATTTCAGAGGAACGAAGAGCCAGCTTTATCCTTTGCTGGACCTGGGTGGTGCTCTCGAAAGCTCTCGTCTAACCCCTTTCGGATATTATATTCGAGGCCATATGCTGTCCCAATGAAAATTCCATGCTCTCTGGGTTTCGACTGGTCCCTTCGCAGACGCCTTATCCATAAATCTTTAGCATGGCATCCCGCCCGACAACTTCGTGCGTCGTTGGGAATAATGCTACCGTCTCCGAACAACCAGAGACTCCGTTTAATAGGATTAATTTATAATGATTCACGGCCACCTGTCATATGTTCCAAGTTTCTTTCGAATTCGAACTGTTGAAAATTGAAAAATACGTCCTATCCGTTATATATCCGCACAACAGAGTTTCTCGATGCTTTAAAGAGTTTCCTTTTGAATATAGCGTTCTTAAGCTTGACTTTTCCACACTTTGAATCAAAAGTCAAGAGTTTACAAAAGTTTACAAAGTATTCTATGTTATACTTTATCTTTGTCTTGAACAATTATAAATGGAAAAATTATCGATTTAATCGAAATTCTGATTCAATATTCAAATTTCTTTCTTTCCATATTTAGAATTATTACGGAATTTTCTTCTCTATTTCTCTCTCTCTCTCTCTCTCTCTCTCTCTCTCTCTCTCTCTCTCTCTCTTTTCTCTCAATTCTATTAAATGGAAAAATGTGTTTTTCAACTTTCAAAAGATTCAATACCTTGATGCATACTCTCGCTATCGAAAGAATCATTCTTATATCCGAATAATCTCCTGTCGAATCGTGAAACTTGCAAACAAGTCAACGTAACTTCCTCACAAGGAAATTATATTTCAATCTTCGTCTCGAAAACGAGTCCATTTCCCAAGCAAAATTGGTTCCGCGATCTTCAACCATAGCCAGATCCAGGTATAAAGTGGCGCGTAGATAACAGTAATAGATACTCAGAATTTTCATTTTAGAAACGATTATCCTTTCGATACACGGGACGATCGATTCTCGATGGATAACGCGAAGAGGGCGAGAGAGCATAGCCGAAGTATTCTTATCTCGTATTCTTATCTCGTATTCTTATCTCGAGGAGGCACACTCCAATTTCCTGGCCCCCCCCTTAAAATGAAAGAAGTTCGTTGTCTCCAAGAATCGAGATCCCGTGTTGTCTCAGGAATTGGATTTCGGCCGACGGTTTCAAGAGCGGAAACTCGCGCGAGGTCGTTTTCGCCCAACAGAGTTCGGGTCACGAGGGAAAAAATTGCGAACCAGTTTTCGTACTTTTCGGAAGATGATTGTGAAGAGTATAAGAAAAGAAAGGAGGAAACATTTTGCCAAGGATAGAATGGTGTACAGCGTGATTTCAAACTAAATTGCCGGGCCTGATATAAAGAATAAGTGGCCAATTATCGCACCTTCCTCGAGTATCTTGATGGAGAACAAGATTACTTCAGCTTGCTTTTTTTTAACCACGGCGAAGGAAGCATTACTGTGAAAATGAAACGTGAAAAACATGATAAAACGCGAGCACGCAAATACATATTATTTTTTAATAATAAACATCTATATATTTTTTTCTGTCACGAAAGAAAGAAAAAGAATTTTCTCACCTACGATTTTCAAACGCAGAAAGATCTAAAACAAAGAATAATCTTATCGTAAAGACTGATTCTTTTCAAGTTTTCCCAAAATTTCTCAAGTATTTCACGTACTTATTTTATACGTACGTATTATTTCATCTAAGAGTTATAAGACACGACATATAAAGACGAATTCTTGAAAGGAATTGTCGGGATATATCGACAAATTTCACGCTATTTGCGCTCGAGAAATCGTCAGAAAGTCATGTGAAACGGTCGAAGGAAAAATCGACGGGATGATGGATCTTTCTTGAATTTTTTTCGAATTTTCATCGACGACAAAAGGATACGTTTCTCGCAAAGAGAAAAATGAGAAATGATGAAAAAAAAGAAGGATACCATATCGTGAATAGAGTTTCAGCCGGTTGGAAATGGCGTGAAATGGCCGTTGAAGGATATATAATCAGCTCGAAATAGAGATAGGTGATGTTACGTCGATGATTCGATTGTTGATGCAAATTGTTGCAAGTGAATAAACAAAATTATCGTCGATCGTAAATTATCTATTGATTAAATGACGTTGCCTCGATGCTCCTCGAATGGAACGGGAAAATTAATACAGTTTACGATCTTTTCTGTTCTTTGTGCGTTCTTCATATTGAACAATGATGTTATACACAGTTTGGTTTCCAATTAATTTGAAAATGTATTTTGAAAGAATTGGTGAATTCATCCTTCAATGTGCGATCGTATTTTATAATTATTTGTATTTTTCGATTGATCTTTTTGTCTTGAAAGCAGAAAATATTGTTTAATTAAAAAATTATAATTTTTTTAGTTTACTCAACAAGTCGTTTCTTAAATATAGATGGAATTTATTTCGTATTGAATCTCTGACGTACACATCTAGCTAGAAAATATCCGAAGAATATCAGATTTGTACTTCGCATAAATACAATCCAGCTATTATACCAATTACACAAATTGCACAAATTTCTACGAATATCAGATACAGTTCGGACACACGATATGCTTCTTTTCTCTCTATTGCATATTATGTAACAGATATATATAAAAAAAAAAAAAGAAAAAAAAGAAGTAGAATTTACCATGAATTTGCAATTAGAGAATAAAATACTGGTGATAGGGGTTAGTAGATCGTGGCCAATTCTGAAACGAGGTCGTGGGTTTAACATTGTATCAGAGACCTTCGCGAGCGAAGCCCTTTTCGGAATTATGGCGGCCGAGATAGCTAACTACAGAAAGGGGATGAACCTGTAACTAAATTTTCAGAGAAAATATATCATTTTCTTGGGTGGATGATAATCCGCCCAAATTACGTTCCGCGTTAATTCATTGTTCACGACTTTGAGAGGATATTAAAAGATCTGATAAACAGTAGCTCGTAATCTAGATGAGGCGTTAACTTGAAACCGTTGGGAGTCGTGTAATATCCTGGAAATTACGAGTCTCGACTCTTCTTCAACTCGTCTTGAATTTGAAGGCGAAGTTTCTGAACTTCGCCAGTTACATATAAATTCAAACTTCCCCGTTATGGTTACCCAATATTCCCGTGTTTCGTAATCGAGTTGAATTGAGGATTTAACTTTTGACTCGATCAACCACAATGAGCCAATGAATATATTGGGATGCTTTTAATGAGCAAGTAAAACTGAAATCATCTAATTTCTCCACAATCATAATATTTTATAATTCATTCAATGGTTCTAACATAATCGATATATATTCATATAACGTGAATTTCTAACATGAATTTTTACCCATCTTTACTAATTAAAATTATTTTTATAAATTCGCGTTTGTTTCCATTATTTTTCTAACTTCACAGTCACGCAAGTCAATTACCAATTTCATTAAATTCAAATTAGATCAACCTAACCTATATATCTACAATCAATCCCACGATCATTCTCGCTCGTGCAATAAAAATACACATACGGATAAAGATATTTATCATTCACTTTACGCCAACACCGAGGATAAAAATAAAAAAAAGAAAAGAAAAAGGAAAGAAACATTTCCCTTACCTTGACACGCTCCTCGCCAGATGGAGCGCCGAAGAAGGGGCCAACGAGTCTCTACGATCGCAGCGACATCTGTGCTGGTGGGAAGGCTGCCGGCTCCTGTAACCCACGGTAGCTATGATCGTTTGCTGCGCTTGCGGCTGCGGCTGCGGCGGCTGCGGCTGCGGTTGCTGCGCCTCGCCGTCGAGCCTGCAATACAGCTCGATGTCCGGTACCGATCTCGTGGCCGGATCCTCGGTGGTGCCGCTCTCCTCGGAGCCGCCGAGCCCCGAGACGGACAATTGTGGCGAGGCAACCAAAAAGGTTGCCCGATCCTGTCGCGTGAGCACCGGCTTGCCCTGAGACGCCGCGGCAACAACGACCGGCGGGGGTGGCGCCCTGCTCAGCAGGGCGGCCGTCTCCTCGCTCGAGCCGTAATCGGTACCGTTCCCACCCTCTTGCGAGCCGACATTCCCGTTCGTGTTCATCTTGCGCCCGGCTTCCTTTCTGTCGTCGCGTCACGTGGCCATTTCCTGCAACAACCAACGCGAATCGTTTTAGGATGGATATTATCTTACTTCGGGTTCTAAAATGCTCCATTCTTCGCGCTTTGGGAATCGCTTTGAAAGCGAGCAACGTTGGTCACGATAATTCCTAATTTCGCAATTTTAATGTTGTTAAGGTATCGGTATTTGTAAATGAAAGTTTTAAGCAGCTGAGATATACAAATTTTCGCAATCTAATTTTACTTTACAGCAAATGAATAAGGATTTATCGAGGAAAGATTGGAGAATATATGTGAAAAAGATAAATTTGTAAGATTGGCTAGGGTCGAGATTAAATTAAAATGATTTATCGCGTTACTTTCCACGCCACGTGCACGCAATGTGGTTCAAAGTAATTCGTTTTCATCTCCATTGATTTCCTGTTCATTAAAAATCGTCCTACGAAAAGTACGTGGATTGAAAATCTTTGTAAAATTCAGAGGAAATCCAAGGATCAATGTTTCCAGCCAAATTTCCAAGCCACGTGTGAATATTGATTTTCAACATGGATGAACGAAGCCGCTGTGCAGAGGTACGTAAATACCCTTCGAGTATCGACAACCGATTGGACGTGTCGTTGGCTTCAAACGAAACGGTCCTTGACTCTTCGAGACCGCCTCGTCGTGAAATTCGTCATTTTCGCTCCCTCGTTTACTCGCTCGCGCAGATTTATCCGCCTGTCACTCGTTCTCGTTCCAGTTCCCTCGCGTTAAAACTCACAAGTCTGGCTTACTCGATTTCTCGTTAAATACGACGGTTTAAACTCTGGTAACTGTACCGGAATTACAATCGTGAATAAAACCTCGTGTTATTTAACTCTTATGTTAATATCCGAATAATATCCAGTTATTCTTTCATTCAACGCAAAATTGAAAATTTTTTAATCCCCTCTTCCAAAAGATTTTCACCGGTTTAAAAGTATCGTTCTCGTGTCTAATTCCTTCGAATTAAATTTAGAATTAATTAAATTAAACAAAAGATTTTTAAGTATCAACGTAAAAGTTTTTATTCTCGAATCATATGTTTTTCGTTCAAAAATTTTATTCATTAAAATTCTCGATAGAATCCTATATTGTTTTCACGCAACTCTATTTTATTAAAATCCTCTGTCTCGTGTTTTCTTTTTTTCTTCTTCAAATCCCATTATTAAAAATTTTCAAAAATTTTTAATTTTAAAACGTAGTATAAATAAGAAACCAAATTATATCCTATTGTTCTTCCGGAACGACGGTCGAAATTGAAAATTCTAATTCTGGGCAAAAGTAACAGAGCGTATTCGAGGAGAAAAGAAGAGCAAAATTTCATCAACATGTAGCATGGGCCGAGATCGAATCATGGAAATGAAATTCGGGTTTCCCTTCAATTCGGAGAACGTAAATGAGGAATAATGGATGGACCAGAATAGTCTGGGTTCTTTTTTCTTTTTTTTTTTTTTTTTTCGTCCATCAGTCTCTGAAAAAACTGCGAGCTATTTCGCAATGGCCGACCAGAGATGCAACCGCAATTTGTACAGATGTCGATTGCTGACCGCGCGCAAATTCGAACGTGATAGATTTGAAGAAAAATGAAATTGAACGATTCCCTTTACCTCGAATTTGCAGGGAATATTAATGAGAATTATATTTTTCATCATTCGATAAAATACCTGGATGCTAACTGGGTGTAATATTACACTTGGGTCGCGTTTAATCCGTCCTTGAATTAATTTTAATATCAGATACAGGGGGATACGGCGTGAAATTACTATTCTTGTAAATTGTAATTATTGCGCCTTTGTTTCTGCAACATAATCGATGAGAAAGTGAAAGTGAAAAATTTACGGAATCCACGTAAATTAAATAATTATTTTCTTGATTGTAAAAATTGTTCAATTACAAAAGTTTGTTTGAAAGTGTTATTTAATTTCGTAAGATAAATTGAACTCCAGATGCTAATAAAATTTTTTACCACACTTTTAATTCCATGGATTTATATTAATTCCATCGTTTAATCTATTGCAAAACATTTCTTCCATTAAAGAAAAATATTGTTTTCACAAAAAATCTATATAATTTGTAATACTTACTTTGAACAAACTTCATTCCATTTAAGAATCTTGAAGTTATTTTTCTTGTCTTTTACATAGTATTCCAATTCTAATACCTTTTATTCTCATGTAACTCATAAAAATATTAATTTCCATTCTCATACAAATGGAATATTTTGCTAAAAATATAAAAATTCTTTTATACAAATATAAATTAAAGACTTTCTCTATTTATACTTTCCAATATTGATATCAATTGAATCACTTCTCCCTATTAATCACGTCGAAATTTGAACAGCTTATCTCGAAAATCGCTTCTATATATTTTCTGTGTTTAACGGGACGCGCTGAAAACGTACGACCGTTTCAAATCTTGGCCGATAGCGTCACGTCGGTCGCCAAAAACCTCGAGCAACCAATGAATAAACGTTTCCATGTTCCAACCATGGAGGTGGTTTTATTTAGTACCGATCCAGATAGATCTAATAATTAAACCGGGCTTTCGTACAGTTTCAAAATGTCATGAATCTCTGAACCTTCGAACTTTTCGCCAGTTCTATAGCTTTTCACCTTAAACAATCGTCGCACTTATCCTGAAAAATCCAATATTCCTCGTATTTAGCGTGAACAAATATTTTGTAGAGAAATTCAATTAATTTTTTTAATCGTTGAAAGTTTATATAGCGTAACGAACGAAGGGATCTTTTTGACGGGGGTGAAATTCATATTCAAACTTTCAGTATTCTTTCTATACAATTTTGTGAGGTATAGAACACCTCAAAGTATATTTATAAATGATATAAATTATACAATTCTAGAAAAATAATTCTTCAGTGTTAAAAAATTAAAGAAGAAAGATAAATTTTGAAAGTTTGAAAGTATTTTCATTTTGTAAGAATGAATTCCATTTTAAATTTAACACGCGTATTTTTATCATTAAATTTTACTCACAACAAATATTAGAATACCTTATATCTATATCTATATATAGAGAGAGAGAGAGAGCAGCTTGTAGAAAGCTTTTAGCAAAAAAATAAAAAAAAAAAAAAAGACACAAAAAAAAAGCCTCGTTGTATTTGCAGCTGCATGATGCAACAGCAAATGCGTGGTAAGTTCGTAAGCACCTTTTCCGACGCATTTCCATTTCATCCTCGAAGAAAGTTATTTTCCCACTGGATGAAAGAGTGCGCGATGAGGATGGACGAGTAAACGTCTTCAATCCTCCCAAATGAACGCGAAATCCCTTCACCCTTGATAGCTTTAAAATACGGATACAGCCCTCTCCCTCGCGGATAATAAATTAAAATTTAATGGAGACGCGGTAGGTAATAAAAGACGAGGAGAGGAAAGTGGACGGTGCGAAATTGCCTCCATGAAATCCACGAATTTAGACAAGTGCCGAAAGACACATGAACACCGAAATAATTAGGAAATATGGTAGAATGTGCTTGTACAACGAGAAACGTGTATGAAAAACACGTTTTTTTTGGAAAGCGACATAACTGCAGAATAATTTCCATTTTTTTTAAAAACGAACACGTATAGAGTTTATTTTTCTATAATTAGAAGAATAATTTACGGGTCTAAGTAAATAAGTTCAAAAAGACTCGAATTAAAAATTAACAAATTGAATTATTTCTTTATAAATAATATTTATATACAATGATCGAGACGTATTCAAAAAATTTCCCGAATCCATTCTAAAAGATTGAATTCAACTTTTGAAAAGAATTTTTTTTTTTTTCAATCGATATTCTTCCTTTGCAACGGTATATCCACGGTTTCCACAATAATCAAATCAAATCCGCAACAAACGCGCAACAAAAAAACAGATACGCCTGTGCAAATAAAATCGAACTCTCACGCGCCCTTTTTTTTTTTTTTTTTTTTTTTACCTTTCTACCAAAACTCGCCGCAAGGGGTTAAAGTTAATCCTCGATATATGTATTTTACACGGTCAATATCCATGCCTTCGCAGCAATGGAAACGAAAGATCGACCGACCAATCAAACTGATATGATACTCGTGAGATATACGGTCCAACTCATAAATGTCTACACAACCAAACACGAGCTCCAACGAGCGCTTGCACACGCGAACAACGACTTAAGGCTTCCTCTATAAAATTGTTCGAATCCCTTTACAGCCAGGGATGTAAAGTGATTTTGAACGATAGTAAAGCTACTACTACTCGAACTTCTTCCTCGCTCGCGGAAGAAATCCACGAAAATCCATCCTCCATTCGAAATACGGTATATTATCTCGACGAAAATACAGTGGAAACTTTATAACGAGGTTTCACTTGTCGTTATTTGTTTCACTTGTTAATTGGAATTCGTTTCGGCGAAAGTCAATAGGATGAAATATCATACAATGGAATGGGATTGATTATTGCTCGTTAATTTGAAAAAAATTCTTCTACGAATTCGAGATTCTGTTGGAGAACTAATTTCGTCGTGTTAATTTATGAAAAGAATTTTGCATAAATTAACGCGCGGCTTTTTTTTGAATAACGATCAATCTCTTCTTAGACATCGCTTTTGTCCCTCGAAAAGTACTTTTAAATTATTTATTAATGTATGAAAAAAATGGAATAAATAATTCATAACAAATATTATATACATTTTACATAGAAGTATTATTAAGTAACAAATTTTTCAATATATTGAAAATATCGAGAATTTAATGAGAATTTTCGAAAAATTCAAAATTATTTCTCTCTTATTCGAAAATCAATAACTCACATTTTGTTAAATCGTAAACAAATAAATTAAATGTATACTTTTTTTAAATAATTTGTGATACAACCAAATTCATTTCACCATTTTTCATTTTCTACTTTTCTTTGGACTTAGCAATGTAACTAGAGAAGGAAAAAATCGAAGAAAATCGTCTCGTCCAGTTAAACTTCTTAAAACGCCAAGCAATCTTGTCGTAAACTCAAAATTTTCCCTTTTTATCG